TATGTACATATTTTCTTCTTTTTATGTTATTAATTAATTTATTTTAGTGTTGTTTTTATTGTTTCAGTGCACTTATTCAAGCTTTAATAATAATAATAATTTTAAAAATAATGCAAATGTACCATCCTTGTCTTTTGTGACATCAAAAAGGGAAACTTTATTTTATTATTTTAAATGATATATGTTGTGTGTTGTGAGAGAAGCCCAGCAATCACAGGCCTAATCTCTTGCCAATCCTCTTACACCACCGGCCTCTCTATTTTAGTTCTTCCTCTGTCTCTCTTTCTCCTGCTCTTTGTCACTCCTTTTTTCCCCCTTGTTCTCACTTTTTCAGTTTCTCTTCGTGGCGCTGGATGTATTCACAGTGGACCTGAATCATTTTTACTGTCCTCCTAAATTCTCCATTGAATTGTGCAATCCCAAACGCAACAGCTTTGTGCAGTCATATAACACATTTCACAGCTATTGACGCTGGATCTGTCAGTTCTGACACTCAGAGGTGTTGTTGCATTAAAATAAACTTGTGATGAAGCTCACAGCCTATTACTGAAACTGCAGAACAACAAATCAACATCCAGTCTGACAAAATAACAGTGTATAAAGAGGCTGCTGGTGAGATATATAGTTAATTGATATAGGCAGAATGAATATTAAATTGATTTTAAAAACCAGTCTGTCTAACAACATGACTCGACAGAAACCTCCTATAGCATTTTTGTTGTAATCTGGCTTCATTTCATTTATGCATGGTGTTGATTGCACACTTGCCAAAGTAATAAACACTTTTACCTGATAATTGACAATGTTTTTGTTTAGCAGTATATATATGGAAGCAGAAACAATGAGCAAAAAAGACACATATGGCAAAAAGTGGTCTTGATTTGCTGAAAGAATGAATGTGAGCATAAATTATAAAATATTCTCATCAGTCCTTGATTGCCTCTAAGACCGGCACATATCAAAAGGGGAAAATATATATTTTACATTAGAATTTTAGAAAATATCTGTGAGAAATGGAGAATAAAGAAACAAAATGCTCATATAAATCCATAAAACAAGTGCAGAGTATTACATTTGGGATGCCATGACTGATATTATAAGTATTACAAAGGCAATTGTTTTAGAGCTATTAACAACATACTGTATATCATGTAGATTTGTTTAATAGCTCTAAAAACAACTGCTTGTCTGAATTATCTGCATTATTTGTATTCAGCTCAATTTTTCACTCTTTGTGCGTCCATCCATGCATCAGGACTATGAGCCGCCCCTCATATCTGGATCCCTAATCCCACAGGACTACACAGATTAGTGTGTAGCCTATCTCAAATGCTTGTGTGCTTTTAGCAATATCAGTTATTCTATGTAATGTGTAGCGCCTGACACTCATTATAATATAATATAATATAATATAATATAATATAATATAATATAATATAATATAATATAATATAATATAATATAATATTAAGCAATTTCAATATAAGAATTTAAGTAGAGCTGTATTGTTGTATGAGGTTTATAGGCTACTGTTTGTGAGTATGGGCCAACTAATATTTGATAATACATTAACACACCCTTCATGCTAACATGTACAGTACTACACAAAGTACAAATGTCAATGAAAATGGCACTAACTCCACACGTTACAAATTTTCAACATGTCCGGTCCAAAAACAGCCGTATATCTGCCATACATAAACTTAAGGAAAACATGTCTTACTTTCTCCGACAATCGCCTTGAGTCCCAGAGATGCCATCCTGAGTGCTCGCTCTCGCCGCCGGACTCGGAGTGCGCGCGCTCGGATCTACAGTTGGTGTAAATGGGATGTGGCTCTTGCGTCGATGGCTAATCCCAGCACACGCCTCCGCAGCTCCTTTGTTGACATATGCAGCGTGTCTTGTAAACATACACACATTTGTGCATCTATGAAGCTCAGCTTTCTACGCAGATTTCATCATGTTTCACGCCTGAAGTGGTTTTGGAGCATATGCTTTAACAAGGTGAACTCAACGAATTTGCATAGGATATGAAATTAACGTGATGAAAATAGTGACGTTTGGGTGAGAATGGTTGCAATCTGTTTAATAATAGGTGCGCCTGTAAGATGCGCGAAAAGACCACTTGGTGCCCACTAGAGGGAGACATCGACTTGTTATCCTGCCGCGTTTAAGTGGCCATTCAGAGATGCTTTGCTCGTTTGGATTATTTAAATGAATATGTATGTAAGACAGCCATCTACAGTATGATAACCCGTTATTTTACAGGTAAAAAAATGCTAACTGACCCAGCCAAGGCTCAAACCAGCGACCTTCTTGCTGTGAGGCGACAGAGCTACCCAATGCGCCACCATAACGCCCCATTTTTTTATTATACAACCAAATAAAAAGTTTTATTTTCTTTTAAATTATGTTTATTCATCAAGAACTTTACATCAAAAGTGACAGGTAAAAGACGCACTACTTAAGATTTTTACTAATAGTAGTTAGTAGTAACTAACTAGTAGTTTTTACTCACTGACATAAACCATTTAATACCTCATGTTGTACTTTTTAAAATAATATAGCTCATTTCCATCCTGGTATTGTTAAACTCTGTCTCTCTAATAGATTTGCAGTACAAATCTTAATTTTTAAACCAGATTTATTTCTGTCTTATTTTATACATATTATTATTTGTGTTTTTGGTTTAATCTAACTGAATTTCACTGACTGTACTTGCACTCTCTACAGTCGCACTTAAGATTTATCTAGTGTAATCTCATGTAAATATCTTAAGTTTACTTCCTTTTGACCTACTCTATATCAGTAAAGCAGAATGAGATTCTTATTTTGTATGTGAATCCACACAATGTTCTAAATTAATATCACACTTCATGATATGTTTTATATCATAATTAGACCTTTTTTTATTAATTGCCCCTAAAGAATGGAAGTGGAATGCAATAACATGCCCCATAGAAATAGGTGGAGCACATTATAATGTCTAGGAACACATTGAACATGACCGACCATATGGCAGCTTATAACTGATCTAATGGAAAAAAAGAAAAGAAAAGAAAAGAAAAAAACAAGAAGCACTAAAATATTTTGTTAAAAATATACCATTAATAAAAAAACAACAATTATGTGTTTTTTGTTGTTTTTTTAATAGGCCTTAAAAAAGGCTTGTGATGTTTTTTTTAACAACACACAGCTGGGCAAATAGATGAATAATTAAATCTAATTAATATTATATAATAATAATAATAATAAGTTTTTTTAACATGTCGTGTAATTAGAAACTGCACATTCAGCAGACAAAAATAAAGAATTTAAAAACTTGACTTAAGGAGTATGATTTTGTTGATGTGAAATGAAATTAAAATTTTGGAATGAACCATCCCATTACACTGGGTTTTCATTGTGGAAGATGTTATTAAAGCAGATGTATTTAATGTCTAGGTGACAAAGTATACACTGACAAAGAACAACAGCTTATAATTTAGGCCTAATTCATTCATGTGGCTGAAAAACACAATTTACAGAAACATATTTTTTGTAGTAAATATGACAGTTAAATGTATATCTAACACACTAAACACACTCTGCATCAGTTAAAACAGTGTGATTTCTGTTGGGCTAGTATAGACTTAAAGGGATAGTTCACACAAAATGAAAATGTACTATTTACTTGTCCTCAACTATAGAGTCAATGTAGCACCATATATACTTGCAAAATTAAAAAAAAAATGTATTGAGCAAAAATTAAATAAATCCAAATCTCCAAAAAACGCAAAGCGAAAATTTATTTTTGAGAAATAAAAATGAAATTTGCTAACAAAAAAGAACTGCATATAAAAATCAAGCAGTGCAAAAAATAAAATAAAATAAATATTTGCAATGAAAAAAACTATGAATATTTGCTAAAGTTTTTTATAGTATTGCCTTTACAAACCAGTCAATTGCAATGCACATTTAATTAGCCTTTTAGTCAACCGTGATTTTGCGATACTGATACTTTGTACTTCACGTTTTGGCACGTTTCACTTTGTGGGCGTGATTTGACAAGGACACAAAGTCAAGGGAACTTGGGCGTTTATGGCAGGCCTGAACCTACTGGGCTGTAAGACCACCTTGGTGATGCTGTGTCTCCAGGTGATGATGTCACTTAAATGGAGGCAGGTCGTTCTATTATTTTGCAAGTATGTATGGCCCTAGATTGACTTCATACCAAGTGGTTCTATAAACATCGAGTTCAGATAATATCAGTTTAACACTATAGATATTTTGAAGAAAGCTGAAAACTTATATTGACTTCCATAGTTCCATATGAAACAATATTATATATATATATATATATATATATATATATATATATATATAACATTTAGCCTATTTAGATCAATGATTAAATTAATCATATGTTCTTTTGAGTTTAAGAAGAATGTTAAATAGGTTTAGCATATAGTGCTGGGGAACGTTAGGCTACTTTAAAAAGTAATATAGGTAATCTTGAGTCACTTTTTAAAAAGTAACTAATTTACTTAGTTACATTTTAAGAACATCTTATTTGGCTGGACTTAAAAATAAGTTACTTTTAAAACTAACTTCCCAACACTGATCATAAGGGTAAGTATATGATGGCAATATTTTCAGTTTTGGGTTAGCTATCCCTTTAAGAATTACAAATTTCAGTTAATTTAGGTCAGCATCATTCATAATTCCACATTTAATGGAATTATGAGTTATTTATGATACTTTGAGTAGCCTACACGTTCAAGACGAAAGCTTAAGCTTTCATTCAGAACTCAATCAGTTCGTTGACGGGCCAGTGAAGGTCTCAATTAAGTTATTAACACTATATTCTACTTTACAAATGTGAACAAGGACCTCGAATCAGCCGGTTTATAGAAATTAATGGAATCGATTCGGTCACTTTAAAGATTTGTTCAAACGCCCTTTGATTCATGAGCGCCGATCCCGCCTCTAATTGGAGGTGTGAATTCAGATTTCTGTAAACCCGCCCTCGGCGCGCTCATGTGCCTCATGAAGTAAAGTGTGTTTTGACGCCGAACCGAGCAGTGCCTGTTTCACGCTGGACTGAAGAAGCATTACCGTACGTTCACACCGAAAGCGGCGAGAGCGTCCAAGGTCGCTCTGGCCGCCCTGGCGACAACGCTCTCTGCCTTCAGCTCCTGCGGCGAGAGCGTCAAAACTCGCTACATTGATCTCTTATTTAAAGGAGCCGTTGCAGCATATCAGTTACATTCCTGCATAAAACATGTTTCTAGCGTGAAAATGAGGCGCACTTCTTATCAAATTCATACAACAATGGAAGATCAAGTTGTGTGTGGTGTGGCTTTGCTCTATTTATCCAATATGTGTCCATATGTCTGAAATATCCTGAAGCAGCAGTACTGTTTTGTACTATCACATCGCGTGAGATTCCCGCTTTTTTAAGATAAAAATATAACATTAATGAACATCAGTAACTCGCCAGTAACTTATTTAATGTATGTTCCTGTAGGAAAAAATTGTAAATAATTGGAAATCCGGCGACCGCAATAATCAAACCCTTGGGAACAACTGTGGTCGGAACCAAAGTTCACAGGTCTGTGTTCTCTGAACTGCTATCAAGCGATGGACGTCTTCATTCTGATTGCCTGCCGCCAAACCGCGTCATAGCTCATTACCATAAAGTTGACTTCATTTCAACTCTCCTCGACGCTCACGCCGGCGAAGACGCGCCGCGCTGCTCCTCGCCGCTTATCGCCGCGTATCGCCGCCGCCTCTCATTGAAAATGAATGACTTCCGGCTACTTTGACGCTCTCGCCGCTTTCGGTGTGAACGTACGGTTACAGTGTATCAAAGTTATGGAAAAAGTTAGCCTTTATTAATTCAGAACGGTGCGTGAAAACTATTTTTGTAACTCGAGCTGCCTCTACTGCCTGAGTAAGAAGAGGGAGGAGCCGCTCAAATCAACTTGAGTTCATATCTTATCATAAGACACCAAACCAAACCAGCGCCCTGCTGCCTGCGACCACACAGCTGCTCCACTGAGGCGAAGCTCACCGAGACAGACCAGACCAGTCTGCCAACAAATAGCGGCACGATGGGGGATTTGATCTCAACTCATCTGGATGAAAGCAAACGGGAGGTTATAACAGGTACAGTAAAGTGCTGTGTCGTGGACGCGGCTGTTATTAGTACTGCAAGATGTGATAGTCCGATTGTGTGTGGTATGTAAAATATGATGTTGCGAAAGTGTTGCAATGGCTTTTCAGTTAAGGCCAGTTCTGGGGTTTTGGGTGAAAGGGTTTACATTCCACTCCAGAAAGGAAACGTGTGGCTTAATGAAACTTTGTGCTTCTTTCTCAGTAAATGCGCATTTTGCTACGACGTGGCACAATATTTTCACTGCCTTTTTGGAAGCTTGGAAACCCACTGCAAAAATAATATAAAAAAGGAAAAAAAGGGAAAAAAACACACACGACGTTTTTTTTTTTTTTTTTTTTTTTGCCATAAAAGTCTACAAAATGGATTATATTTCTATTAAATGCTGAAAATGAGTTGTAATAGAGTTTTTAGGGATGGCCCCAGAGCTGTGTGGTGTGGTCAGGTGTGGTCAGGTGAGGTTAGGGTGGGTCAGGTTTGAGTCAGTACTGGATTAGTCAGTACTGGAGTCAGTGGATTACTAGTAGATTACCAACTACCCAATGTCCTGTCTTTTTGTATTTAATTTTAAAGCCCACTTTGTTCTAATAAAATACAAAGCATGTAGCACTTTCATGTGCAAATGAATCATTCAACTGATAGAAAAGATCAGTATGAACAATTATGGCTGTAGCCTTTAGTCACATCAGCATCAAATATTAATATTGTTGTGGAAAATTCTTTATGGTCACCATAGATTGCGTTTTGAGATTATTGCTTTAATGTTCAGCATTTTCCAGGCTGATTTCTCTTTTTTTTTATTATGATTGTTTTCAACCATCAACTGTATTTTATTTTAGGAACACTGGTTTCTAAGAAAGGTAATTGACTGGTTCAAGTAAAAGTTTTCTGTAGATAATATATAAAAAATACAAACCTTTATTATTCAGGCCAAGATTATAATATTATGAAAGAAATCTAAAAATCAGAGGAATCTTGGGATTTAAAAGGTTTTATTTGGATGCTTTCATTGCATCCTAGTTAATTTCTGACCGTATTAACTGCAAAAGGAAATTTTGTTGGAAATTTAAATAAATATATAGATTAGGATAGTCCAGAAATGGATTTTAGTGCCTAATGAAAACTTTTTTCTTTTTTTTTGCCCAAATTCAGTTATTTGTTTTTAATTTTTGGTAAGTAAATTCTTTTTCTACAATTAATTGAAACAATTAAAATTATAAATTTTAACAGCAATTACTTTTTTAGAACTAACTGAAATGATTGTTCTTCCACACTGTTTGATTTTGACAGAAATAATAATAGTTATTTATTCCTTATAAATAGAGATTCATATATTATTAGTTTAAGAAGTACATTCTACAGTGTGCAGTATTGAATTTCTGCCATCTTGGTCTTTAATTTGAACTTGTAGTGAAGATGCTTGAAGTTTTTGTGGTTTAATATAATTTTCAGATTTCATAAAAATACACATTGTGATTTGATTAGCTCTGCTGCATTTAATTAAGATTTTAAAAAATTTTGCTGCTTATATTTTTAAACCAATTTAAGAAGAACATTATGTTTTACTTAAGCAGGAACTTTTTCACCAGATAAAATCACATTTGTGAAGGGTAGGAGAGAAATGTTAACTTTCCATCTTCCCTCTTTTTTGCATATTTTAAGAGAAAGTGCACATCAGATATGGAATCTCAGGAATGCACAAAGAGCCTAGGAGCAGTAAGGAGGCTGTCTGGGTGATCTGTCATTCTCAACATTTAGATAGCCTTTGTTCGGGAGGTCACGAATGCTTATTTTATTAGGGTTTTTTAGAGTATGAAATATTCATAGCATGTGACTGACAAAATTGTTAAGGTTTAAATGGTTACATCCAAAATTACTTGTGTACTTGCTATGCTATATACAGTTAAAGTCAGAATTATTAGCCCCCCTTTGGATTATTATTATTTTTTAAAATATTTCTAAAATTATGTTTAACAGAGCAAGGAAATTTCCGCAGTATGTTTGAAAATATTTTTTCTTCTGGAAAAGTCTTATTTGTTCTATTTTGGCTAGAATAAAAGCAGTTTTTAAAATATTAAAAACAATTTTAAGGACAAAATTATTAGCCCCTTGAAGCTATTTGTTTTAGATAATCTACAGAACAAACCATCATTATACAATAACTTGTGTAATTACTCTAACCTGCCTAGTTAAGCCTTTAAATGTCACTTTAAGCTGTATAGAATCTTGGAAAATGTCTAGTAAAATATTATTTACTGTCATCATGGCAAAGATAAAATAAATCAGTTATTAGAAATGAGGTATTAAAACGATTATGTTTAGAAATGTGTTGAAAAAAAATCTTCTTTCCGTTAAACAGAAATAGGGGAAAAAAATAAACTGGGCGGCTAATAATTCTGACTTTAACTGCATACAAAAACAGTATGTGGAAAAAACAGTAGTAACAATAATGTCCAAATTATTGGTACTCATAAAAGGTAGACTAAAAGTACTAAAGTATTTATACGTGAACTAACACTATACTATCTTATCTTAGACCATATGACAAGTTTTGTGAACGGCAGTGAAGCATTGCAACTGATGCTGATAATGACTGCATTATAATTGTATACATCCAGAAACATTTATACCAGGGGTTCTCAACTGGTTTGGCCATGGGACCCATATTTTTACATGGTCTTCAACCCCCGGCCCAAATTTTTAGGAACTATAATGTAATTTTAGGAATTATAATTAATTTGTATTTGCTTGTTAACATACACAAGTAGTGACAGAAGAATATAAATCAGAAGAACATCACCAAGACTTACAAATAAACAATATCTATCACTGTCATTTAACAAAATGTCTCAAATTATATAAATATTACAAGGTAAAATGACAAATGTTTGGTTTCTAAAAGTGCTCTTGTGAGAGCACATCACCACATACGACACACTGAAATTTTAAGCCTTTTTTGTCATCAATCTATGTAAATCCATACTTAACATATTCGGGGTTGTACTTGCACTTCGACATATTTGTTGTTATAATCAAATGAAATTTCACATGTCAAACAGCACAGTTGTCACTCGCGCATTTCAAAATAAAAGTCTTATATAAGCAAAATAAGTTAAAAACTAAACATTTGTTGTTGTTTTTTGACCACACACTCTGAAACACTGATTTATACAACCCGAATTCATTCTTTAGAGAAAATCTATATTTTTTAGTCATAGAGTAATTACTTTTTCAGAATTATAGTTGTGATGGTTACAGAGAACTATCAGTTTTTGTACATAACTGAGTCAAAACCATATGGATAAGCTTCGGGACAAACATTAGTTTACTGTTAACAGTATTCGCACTGATTTGTCTTGGAATACTTACAGTAGATGTTACTAGTGAACCAGAGGCTGCTGCTTATCATTTTTACGTCCCTGAATGGTATCATCACCCACCCAACATTAGTTCAATGTACATGTGTAGTCCTTGCGCATGTGTGGGTGTGTTTATGGGCAGACAATTGTTCATGGCAGTCAGGTTTGAAAGGTCAAAATTGTGGGCTCACGCAACAAAGCTGAGCAACACCAGTATAAAATGCAGATATCCCACCTCAGCCGGAAACTTTGGTATACTCCTGCATATTCTGAAGGCCGCAAATTAGAATATCCTTTTTAAATCATGGCAGCGTGAGAGAGGTTGATCAAGTTGAAAGAGCATGTCTAAAATATTGCATTTAAGCTAAAAATTACATGAAAAATGCAGTAAAGAAAGCTCTAGCTGAAATCATAGCATTAATCCCCCTTCTTTCTGTTTAGTATTTTCTTGTAGGTCTGGGTGGTATGACTAAAATTTTATTTCATTGGTATAAAAAAGTTTATTTCACAGTAAGGATATCTTTTTACAACATCATTTTTTATAAAAATAGCTATTCCAGAAAGTATTCTAAAGGGCTTTATATAATAAATAATCCCAAATATGTAAATAAAGAAAAGGACTTTGGATCTTATTTAAATATTTTGTATTTAATTTTAACCTTATTTATTTAGTATATATAATATGACTTTTACAACAAATTTCACTGCACTGTTTGTGACTTTCAGTTTTATCTGGACAGACCTTATTATTGTAATCATTTCCCTAGTAACATTTTCTTATGGATATAAAATATAACCCAAGTAACAGGAAAAAAAAAACTTAAATATGTAAATAAAATGTAAACACTTTAAGAAACTATTACACTTCTTAAGAAAAAAGTATGTAAACCCTTTTAGAAAATATAAAACATCAAAAAAAGATAATTTAGGTATGAAAATAAAATGTAAACACTAAGAAAATATATAAAACTTCTTTAAAAGATAACCTAAATATGAAAATAAAATAAGTAAACACTTTTAGAAAATATAGAACTTCTTAAAAAGAAAAATTGTATATGAAACTAAAATATGAACACTAAGAAAGTATATAAAACTTTAAAAGATAACACAAATATGAAAATAAAATGTGTAAACACTTTAAGGAAATATAAAATAGTTTTTCCTTCAAAAATACACATATTAACCATTACAATTCTTGTATAAATATCGAAACTAAGTGATCAGTTATTGTTGTAATTATAAAGCTGTAAAAAATGCTGGGTTCCACACAATTACTTCATGCTCTCCCAATGCAAATTGATTGCCAACCTTTAACGTTTTACAGGTTTAAGTAGAATAAACATAAGTTGTCTCCAAAAACGCAAAATAATTTTCTCAACTCATTTAAAATAAGTTGTTTAAACAAGTAGCAAAAGTCATTTTTTGAGTGTGCTCATGGTTTGGCCACGCCTACTTATTTACGTGTCGCTGTATAGACGGAATAAAAAAGCCCTATTTTCTAGTAGTGTCAATAAGAACCAATATCAATAAATGGCTTTGATATTGATAGTCTAAACAATACTTCTCCCTACTCAGGAGAGGAGTTCAATTTTGGAAACTCTTAGCGACTCTTCTCACTTTTCTATTGTCAGTCT